TTGCCCCCCCCCCTCCCCATCGAAGGTTGTTTGAAAAAAAAAAACAGAAAAATAGAAATCGTGTTTAATATGGTTATTGTGGCAAATATAGAGATAGTCTTGTTTGCTGTACCACGACCTACTCTATGTATTAGTATTAGAGAAGGCGTTGGCTGCACCTAACTCGCCGGCGAATGGTAAATACGGCGCATGCGCAATTACTAACGTGGCTATAATTAGAAATCACTAAAGTTATAAATATTAGTTGCGTATATTTTGGCATTAATTGTGGTCAACTATCTCTAACAGTGACAGGTTGAATTTCAAACCACGACGGTTCAAAATCCGGTATCACAACAAACATATCCTGAAAATTTCAGCTAAATCGGTTCAGTAGTTTCCGAGTCTATAGGGGTGAAACAAACACACAAACATTGATTTTTATATATAGAGATGTGCTTTGTTACTTTTGTTTTTATTTGATCAGAACATAATTTTAAAAGCTGGCCTTCCCAAATGGTCACTACCACTGTATTTATTGCTACTTTGAATTAATTCCCCATGTGTTTTGTGTTAAACCTTCGCATACTAAAAGAGTAAAGGGGCAGGGGTCCATTGTTTTTACCCCGAACATTAGCCTTTAGAAATCACACAGGGACCAGAGAATTACAACCAGTCAGTACTTCTCTTCTTCAGGCATAAGCACAAAGATCCAAAGATCATTGCAATCCTTATAGATACTTGAGTCCTCTTCTGCACACAATATTATGTTAACATGTTTGTTGTTATCACATGATTTTTTAGTTTATACTTCTGTAGAGCTATGGGGGGGGGGGGGGGGGGGGGGAGATTTAAAGCACCAATGTTTCTGTTCAGGGTGCTGTGGTGTAATCCTCAGTAATCACTAATAGTAACACTGTGACCCTCAGTCAAATCTTATGTATACTCAACCTTGCTGTATGGTGCCAAAACTTGTACAATGACCAGGCAACTAGAACATTGAACTGAGTCTCTGGAAATGGGGATATACTGAAGAGAAAGCTGTAGACAGCAAAGACAAAAGAGACAGAGTATGTTGGAGATTCATAGCAACCAGCCTTCATTGTGGAGATGGCACCCGATTGGTTGGTTGATTGATTGATTGAACCTATTGTGCATGTTGTAAGGGTTAGTAAGAGAATGGCTACTTTCACTTACAAATCCAACCATACTTGAAGTTTGCAGAGGGCTTGGCTTAAAATTATAATTTTTAAGGGTCTGTTTTACTTTATATAAATATTAGATGGCCATTTTAAGAAGAAAGTTGAAAATATTGTGGAGATTAAAATGGGGATTCTGAAAAGCCAGTAGTAGGCAAAGATAACAAACACTGAAGTTTTGAAAGCTGTAACAACATCACTCAACAGAACCATAAAGAAAAGACAAATTGAGTTTAACTCTTTAAGTACCAGACAACTCAACATACATTTCTTGGTTATTCGAGGATATATAATGTACTTGACTTATATCTCTCGGAGCAGTTTTGATAACCCCATCTTCTGAATTATTAGTTTAATCACTTCTGTCCCACATTGTCTCTACTAGACTTCTATATATATTACTTTCAAGCACATTTCATTCGGATATAAGGAGTTGAAGTAATAACTTGTTGGTGCTGATAGAGTTCATCATCATCATCAGTTTCCACTTTTGCCTTTAAACACTGTGGGGAGGAACAGTTTGCAATCTGTTATTTAATTGGCAGCAATAGCTGCTGTCATTCCATGTCAGTGTAGAAGCCCTTTAATGTTAGAAATGTTAATACTGAAAGAGTTAATAGGCACGTGTAAACAGATGGAATGCAGAAATGAGCCTTATGTGGGAAATGCTAAACAATAAAAGCTGGGCAAGACAGAATGTGTGGAAGTTTAAACAACATGGCAATGAATCATCGTAAATACAGCAAAAATTGCATCTAAATATCAGATGTGAAAGAAAGGGTCCAAAGACAACTATGTTTAGCAGTGCATTTACCAGACAAGGAAAAGCAGACAAAAATCCCTTGCCGATTAAAACTCTCATCCCACAATGTATTCAGTGGGCATTCTAACCTTTAGACCACCCTCCCCTCACTGTTTCAGTAATCCTGATAATGCGTTGTTTGTTATTATTTATAATCAGTTGCGCACTACGATTATTGTTATGGGGATCACAACTGAGTTTTGCACTGTGATCTTTGCCCTGTTTCCTCTAATTTGCATTCTTTCTCAGCTGTAGAGGGGTAAAAGTGCAGGGTGGGGTTGGGGAGATAGTTTGTAAACACTACTGAATACAGACAAGTGTTGTAGGTGTGTTGATGTCTGTAATATAATCCGTTAAATCAGCAGAGATAAGCTTCCAGATAGACCTTGTATACTTTGGACTGAAACTTTGAACCAAAACACTAGGCCAGTGTTGTAAAAATAGATCAGTATGTTGACTGTGTTACTAAAGATAAAACAGGCAGTCTAATTTGTGAGCATAGTGCGAATTAGTATAATAATAATAACTCTAATCCCCTAACACATTGGTTCTGAAGCAGTCCAGGGCAATTTGATGATAGATAGCTAGCTGCTTTGTACTTTGGACTGCAATTTTGAACCAAAGCACAGAGGGCCACATCTCTCTTTCAGTTATTTTTTATTATTGTATTCAGCCACCCTCTCTCTCTCTCTCTCTCTCTCTCTCTCTCTCTCTATCTCTCTCTCTCTCTCTCTCTCTCTCTCTCTCTCTCTCTCTCTCTCTCTCTCTCTCTCTCTCTCTCTCCTCCCACTCCCCACACACACACATTTATGTAATGAAAGGGTTAAAGGAATATATAAATAAATACGTGAAGTGTTGAGTTTTTTTATGAGAGAAAACTGACAGATGCATTTGAAATAATAATAACGGATGTAAGACAAAGATACCTTTTGTCACCTGTACTGTATTCACTGGCTATAGACAGGATTATGAAGACATCAGCAGTTACTAGCAGAGATGTAATTCAGTGGACCCCTAACAGAATGGATTGGTGATCTGGACTTTGCTAATGAAATTTAATTCCTATCCCATTCATGAAATAACATGCAAGATAAATTAATTAAAGATATTAGGAATAAACGGATATCCTTCGACTAACGGTCGGCAAAGATGGCGGCCACAAAATATCCAGCCGAGCCGCAGTCACATGTCAATTGCGCGCTTCCTGCTACTTCATGTGCGCTTTTCCAGCGACTATGGCTACCGAACGTGGCCCCCACGGCGCTCACGCGGCATGGATTGGGGCTAAACTAGATGGCTAGGACTCACGAGTAAGGCTGCAGGAGATGCGGAAGCTGCTGCTCGTGAGTCCTAGCCATCTAGTTTAGCCCCAATCCACGCCATGTGAGCGGCGTGGGGGCCACGTAGCGGTAGCGGTTGTTGGCGGAAGACCGCATATTAAGTAGCTGGAAGCGCGCAATTGACACGTGACTGCGGCTCGGCTGGATATTTTGCGGCCGCCATCTTTGCCGACCGTTAGTCGGAGGATAGCTGAATAAACATTCAAAAAATAATCTAATCTCTTATGATCAAATCCCAGTCCAGGATGTGGTCATAAACCTATTTAGACAGATAAAGATGGGGAAACTGATAGAGATATGAAAATAAGAATAAATAGGCAGGAGTTGTTATAGCACTAGGAGCAGAGAAGGCAAGTTAATTGTTGGAAGCACTGGGGAGAAGTTAGTTGTTAAGGGCAGAGACGATGTTAAGACCAGAGACTGTGTTGGGACCAGAGACGATGTTGCGACCAGAGACGATGTTGGGGGCAGAGGAGTCAAATTAGTTGATGACATCAGATAGGACCTCCAGTTTTGCAAGCAAACATTTGACCACTGCCACTGTAGCTCTCAGCAGATCAGGATGAGAGTGATGTTCTGCTACATGATATTTATGAGTGTGTGGCAAAACATTCAAAGTTTCCTATTGCTAAATTGCTGTCTTTATCTGTAGGTACTGACAGCACACAACAATGTGGTCCCATCCTGTGTTGGGGGATGTTTGTATCAGCAGCAGCGGAACCTGTCCATACACGAGCACATGTCCATGGAGCTCCTCCAGAAAGCCGGTGTGGCAGTTCCAAGATTTAAGGTGGCCAAAACACCAGATGAGGTCTACAATTATGCTAAAGAGTTGTGTAAGAGATTTCCATTGTTCATTTAGTTCATTATTTTAGCAAAATCTGGGAGTACAGACACATGGACATTGTATTTGTAAAAATTAATATTTTACATAGAGTTAGTCATCATCGTCACTTCAGAGTTAATCATTGTCATCAACTTTGACTTTTGCCATTAACCCTATCATACCAACGAGGCTATATCTAGTTACTTCTGGTTATGTCATGCCAATGTGTGACCATTTATGCAGTGACCTATTCTCAGAAAGTGAAGCTAAGTGTCATTGATTCTAATATGAAAATTTGCTTTATTAAATAGGCCAGGATATGAATATTGTCTCTCTACAATCCACGATCTCCTGCAGCATGTATCAGTTCATGTGCTGACACACCACCATGCCATGCAACAAGACTGTCGAGAATCTTCTTTCGTTGTCTTCCACAAACCCTCTATCCACAGATCTTTCTAGTGGTCACATGTTCCATTTTCTCTCTTCTCATAACATGGCCGAGAAAATGATGATTCTTGCTCCCGCCTATTTCAGAATCTTTTGGTTGCTCTTTTTGGCAGGTATTTTAAACATTCTTCTGTAAAATCACGTCTTTGAGGCACAAGAAATTGTTTGGCCTGCCTACAGATTGTCCAGGACTCAGCCAAATGTCAAAACTGGATGTGTGTAGCAAGCAAGAATTCTTTTTCTAACATCCAATGACAGATATATATTGCATAAAATGTTCTTCATGTTATAAAATGACCCCGTATGGGTTTCGGAACCCTATTATAGGGAAAACAAGAATAGACCCACTGCCTACCCAAAAGCCTGTCGTAAGAGTCGACTAATTGGGAGCTTCCTTCGAAGTCGGAGTGCATCTGCCTGAGAGGCAAGGAACCATCAGTCTGCATACAAATGAGTCAGATCTGTCAAACGGATGCATACGCAACACTCAGGTTCTGGAACAGGACTGCCGTCCAGAAGTGGATGAACAACCAGAACTTTCCGCCAGGGTTTACAGCTGGTGAACGAGAAGAAGAAGAAGAAGATTTTATAAAATGCAGTTTTTGCCTGACCATGATTCTTATCTCAGTAATGCATCTTCCATCTGATGTTATCTATGTGCCCAGATACTTATATTTTTGTACTTGTCCCAAAATAACACCATTGACTTTTATTACACATTTATGAATAATTCTTTTCTTTGATACCACCATTACTTCTGTCTTTCCCTTATTCAAATTGAGGCCCATTTTTCCACTTTCTACCACCACAATGTCTGTCATTTTCTGTAGTTCTTTCTTACTTGTTGCTATCAAGACAGTGTCATCAGCATAACGGAAATTGTTTATATTATACCCACCAACCACAATTCTGGGTGTATGAAATAAAGATCTCATTATATATTCACTGAATAGTGAAAATAAATCGGATGACAGTACACATCCTTGTCCTGCACCCCTCTTTTTGCACTAAAATGTATTTAAACAGTTGTTAATTCTTATAGTTGCTGTTTGCTGCCAATACATATTTTTATTATTTGTAGATCTTTTCTATCAATGTTTAATTTTTTTCTATTTTATTACTTCTTCATATTTCAAACAGTCAAATGCTTTAAAGGCTATATCTAACAGAAAAGGAATCTATCTGACTTGCACTACTTCACGTTTAGTAATATTTATTTTGTGTCATATCTTCTGCATGTTGAACTTAGCATGCTGTGTGGTATCGTAGTATGTGGCCCTCATTATTTAAGCTTTGTAGCTAAATATTTCGTAACATTAAGTAGATAGTGAAAAATGTCTTCTGATCAAAATAAGTAGCAAATGAACATTTGTAAAGTTTGATAAGCCTCACCTTAGAGGTGTGATATTTGCTTTTAGCTCTGAAAGATTTTCCATAAAAGAAAGAATATGTTGTCACTCTGCTTCTCACACAGGGATCAGATTTTTAGCCATGTCAGATACAGGACAATAAAAAAAATGTTTAATGGACCAGGTTGTTTGATGCACATGTTAACTCTATCAGTACTAAACAATTCACCATTCATTCCAAAGATATTTGATGTACTCATTGTCTCCTATCACAGACACATGCTGTATTAACATTTTAATGTGAATTATTAGTTCTCTCCTATAGTGTCTCGGTTTAACTTCTTAAGACTTAAGTATTTATTGCTCTTTACATAAATAAATATATATTGCTTTTAAGCTCAACACTTAACACTTGTTAAAAAAAGATGGGGTTGGGGGGAGGGGTTTAGTAACAACTGCTTGAAAGTAACAGTTTTAAGATTCCTAAGAGAGGGTATCTGTGGTAAAGTAGTCACGCCATTTGCCTTGCCTTCTGAAGGTGGTGGGTTAATTTTACAGATCCTGTGCAGTTTTTGTGGAGGTCCCTGGACATTGTCATTGGAGTTATGCAGTTCTTATTTTTTTTTTTGTGGTGCTCTCAACGGAAGAGAGACTGAGTCATGTGGAATAAGATCTGGTGCAGTGTAGTTGATGTTCTCGACTTTAACTGAAAAATTCCCAAGAAGTTGGAAATGTAAGAGTGGACTATTTTTGGCTGCTGAACAGTACATTTTCTTCTAAATCAGACACTGCATAAGAATGTGACGTGTTATGCCTTCATATATTCTAGGCTATAGTATTAAAAGCTGTAAATTATAAGACTTTAGTACAGTTTTTGTAACAGGCAATTCTGAAGATTGTGTTGACAAAATATGCATTTGGACTGACCTGAAGCAAAAAAAAATTAAAAAAAAAAACAGCTTTTTTGACATCATCCGAATCTAAAATAGATACCAGGAAATATCCTAGGAGGTAAAGGTGAAAAACATGATGTTAAAATGTCACCCATTGAGTGCCAGTTAGACTAAACAAAATATAGGCCTAGCCCTATATGCTTGATGTGTTAATGGGAGAAGCATCCTTTTTTCCTCTTTTGGTTGCTTTTTTTTTTTAAACATCATTTAGTGTTGATTCTGTAGGTAGGTTCTTTGTTAATATCCTTCCCCAGATGATGTCACAGGACAGTCCAACATTTTAAAGGGTGGCAAGACTGGGTTTTCCGGCTTTTTGATGCTTTCTACAGCCCAAAAACATCTAGAACTTGCCCTAACACAAAACCAACTGCGTCCCATGAAAGAGTGCAGCCTAGGTCCCACAACTGAGTGCAGCCTATATACCACCCCCTGAAATTCTAGAATGTTCCGTGACCTGTGGATTTCCCCTGTTTGGGGTAGGATATTAATAAAGCACCTCTAGGTATGATGACTAAGACAAGATAACTTTATGGTATACCTGTATTCATTCCTTGTGCTTATTTTGTCCTGTGATCAGCCAAGCTTTCGGGTAAACCTGATGTTGTTATCAAGGCACAGGTGTTAGCTGGAGGAAGAGGCAAGGGATCTTGGGACAGTGGTCTGAAAGGTGGTGTCAAGCTGGTCTATTCGTAAGTTAATTCTAGTGTTGTGTTTATTGATACGTCAGTCATCGTGTCGCAGGTCCTTAGCAGAACGTCGCTCTCATCACAGTCTGCCTGAAAGAAACTCGGTGTCTCACCAGTTCTCCTGCCTCATGTACTTTCATACTCAAGAAGTCACTTATATCCTGTACCCATCTTCGTGTGGGTTGGCCCCTGCCCCTCCTTCCTGGTATCATGCCTTCTGCTATAGTTTTTTCCAATCCGTCGTGGCGCTTGAAATGACCAAAATATTTCAGCTTCCGAGAAAGGATGCTGTTTATTAGCCAATCTTCCTTGATGTTCAGATCCTTTAAGATGTCAATATTTCTCCTCTTCTCTGTCCAAGATATTCTGAGAATCTTTCTAAAGCATTTCAGCTCAAAAGCCCCTATTCTCTTTCTTAAGGACTGAGAGATAGTCCACGTCTCACATCCGTATGTAACCACAGGGAAGATGCATGCTCTCAAAATTCTTATTTTTATCTCCTTGCTGGTGCTTAACCATAGACTTTTAGGAGATACAAATTATTGATAATTATCTTCATATATTTGAAACACAAACTTGAGCGTGTTGAGAAATATTTATTTATTTATTTATTAGGGACCTAAATAAAAAAAAAAGTTTTTTTGGGGGGGGGAAGGGGGGGGGGGGGGGTGTGTATTCTGATGAGGTCATGGTGTGTTCTTTTAGCACTATCAGGGTGACAAGGTTAAAATAGTGGGTCACATGCCAACTTTCCTTTGACACCTGTTATAACATAGTGCTGGCCCATATTTGTTGGCTAATCAACACTTGATGGCCGCTTGTACACTCCAAAAACATTTATAGTTCCCATTATATGCAATGCTCACCTGCGAACCACGACCGGTGAAAACTAACCTATGTCAAGAACATGCTGAAACCAGTCATATTGATTATTAAAGAGCAACAGATGAGATGGTTTGGTCATCTGATGTGAATGTCATGGACACAGCAAGAGGAAGACCATGCGGAAAGTGGAATGGCAGCAACCAAAGGAGCCATGAGGAAATGAAGATAAACTTATACAGTGTATAAGTCTATCTTCATTTCCAGATGTGGTGCAAATAGTTTCTTTGCACCACATTTGTGGCTAATGTTTTGATATCAATGATAATGTTATTCACATATCTGTCTTGTCAAGAATTTAAAATGTATTTTTAAAAACTAGAAATTGATAGTGGATTACATTGGACTGGTTGGGCTGTTTGAAATAATATAGAGTAAGACTAAATTTGTTTATTATACCTGGTTTATTTTTCTATTTGGTTTGGTACTTTTTAGAGCTGATGAGGCCAGAGAGTTGGCTACCAAGATGATTGGTCACAAGTTGTTCACGAAACAGACAGGAAGTGATGGAAGAATTTGTAATAAGGTCATGATTGTAGAAAGGTTGTACATCAGAAGGGAGTTCTATTTCGCAATCACAATGGAGAGGAGTTTTGGGGTAAGATGTTTCTTTAACATATTTCTGTTTTAGAATTGTTCAGGTTTTTCAGAACACCCAGCTTATGAAACAAGCCGCCCGGCTCTCTAGCGAAGTTGGTTAAACCGGACTTCCGCGGCGGCCGGGTGACGAACTCCTTGTGGTCCGGGTTCACTCCCGGGGGTAGGCAGAAAAGCCACATTTCTCCCAGATTAACGGTACCTATAATGGAATCAAGGCCGAAGGGTTGCGATATCCATAGTACCGAGCCAAAGGGTTTACAACTCATGGTTTCTGGATACGTAAAAAAAAAATATAAAAAAAAATGAAACAAGCCTAAATGCCCCTTAACAAGCATGTGACAAAATGTGACTACTTCGGAGTGTTTACTTTGAAATCAGAGTGCATCTGCCTGAGAGGCAAAGAACCAACAGTCTGCATTAAAAAAAAAAGCCTGATCTGTTAAATGGAACAAGACCCAAGTCAAAAAAAAAATGGATGAATATACAGTACTTTCTACTGGAGTTTACAGCCAGTGAAAACTAAGAAGAAGAATAATTCACAAACACTGCTGTTTCTGGTCCACATGTGTGTCATTCATTCATTCATTCAGTAGCATGTCCCTCACGGAACCTCGCTGCCATAACAACCCTCCGGAAAACCTTCCTATCATGAGCAAGATGTCCTGCGTCTGATACACCCATCTGGAGATCATCTGCCACATCCTGCACCCATCTTCTCCTTGGCCTTCCTCTTCCTCTCTTCCCAGGCATATACCCCTCCATTATTGTTCTCTCTAGACTTCCATGACGTTTCAAGTGACCAAAATATTTCAATTTTCTTTGTTTTATTGTCTTTACTAGCCAACACATGTGTGTGCTTCATAAATATTTTCCTTGATTGTTTTTTTTTTTTTTTTTTTTTTTTTTTTTTTTGTCCCTAATATTGCAAAATATTTTATTTCTAATACTCATTGTGATGTTCCTGTTTCAATCACATGTATCCATGGTGTATGTTTTAACGCTATACAATGCAAAAGGGCAGATATACATGGGGATTCTTTTCCTTATCTCAACAAGCTGTTTATTCTTTCATGTTTGAATATTTTAATTGTTTCGAAATTATTTTTAAAATCATCATCATAAACCACTTCTGCCGTTAATTGCCGAGGGGAGGAATAATTTGCGATCCAGTGCACGCTGACTGCCACTGGCTATTGTCATGCCAAAAAAGCGTAGCATTTTTTTTAATCATCGCAGTTTTAATCCTAATGTTTGTAGTTGACCTCTTTTCTGTAAATAGTTGCTAGGAACAATTATTATCAAATCCTGATATAAGTTTAATCTTCCGTCTTCGCATCACAAATGCAGGACCATTACAGATATTACCTTTACTTTTCTATATGTCTCTTAAACATAACATTCAAATGATAGTGTGGTAAGGGTATTTTATCATTCTGTTCTCTCTCTCTCTGTCTCTCTCTTTTTCTTTCTTTCTTTCTTTCTTTCTTTCTTTCTTTCTTTCTTTCTTTCTTTCTTTCTTTCTTTCTTTCTTTCTTTCTTTCTTTCTTTCTTTCTTTCTTTCTTTCTTTCTTTCTTTCTTTCTTTCTGTTTTTCTCTCTTTTTTGCTCTTTCTCTAAATCATGAACACACTCTTAACCAACACAAAAGTAGATATTTCTTTTTTCCCTTTTATTTTATATGTGTGTGTCCTAAATACTTAATCTTTTCTTCTTCTGGTATGAGCTATGACGTCAGGCTTTGTGTGCTCTTGCTAGATTCTTTTTAAAGAAAAAAGGCCTTGCTATATACATTTCATATATTACAACTAGGGCTGTACCGAATATTCGTTTCGTATTCGCTTCGGGGCCGAATAGTGGACCCAATAACTATTCGGTATTCGGCCGAATAGTTGCGGTCGGGCCGAATACGAATAGTGGTTACCTCACAACCGTTTCTGGACTGGTGGAAAAAAAAACATCAAGACTTCCCACCTTGGTTTATACTGTGAAGCGTTATCTTTGTGCACCACCTACGAGCGTACCAAGTGCCCCTTTATTTCCATCTTGCATGTGTTGCGAGTAGTGTTGTTGGCTTGATTTCTTTGAGTGGAGTGTCCTCTTCGTTGATTCTTTGAAGTAATGGAAGTTCGTCATCATTTATGGGTGTCGTATCTGTTCTTTCGTCGTCTCGTGGAAACGGTACCGGCTGAATGTTTTGATCGACGTTCGGTTTCTTGATTGTCTTTGTTGTTTGATCTTCTGGCGTTGGCCGCCCGGCGTCTGGTTTCGTGAGCTCGCGGGGGGCTGGGCGACTTGTAAGGACGGCATTGTTTTCTTCGTCGGCGTTATTTTTGTTTTTGATGTTTCGTCTTGCGTGTTTTCATTTTGACTCTCTGTATTTGTCTTATTTTCCTGTTTAGTACAGCTGGAAATACCTTCAGTGAGACAAAAAGCTGGCCTAATGCTGACAACATGGAACGAAGGTTTTTCATGGAGGTGTGTCAGCACACGAACTAATACGTGCTGCAGGAGATTGCAGATTGTGGCGAGGCATAATCGCCCATGCCAGCCGACAAAGCACATGATGATGATGATTCACTATTTGTATTCATATTCGTATTCGGCCGAATAGTTGGTCCAGCTATTCGTATTCGGCCGAATAGTGAAAATCACTATTCGGTACAGCCCTAATTACAACAGCTTTAAACACGTGTCGATATAGCCCAGTCTCTCCATGTATAAAAGCTCTGTGTCTTTTTCTTGAAAGTGTTTTCTCTTATATTATCAACCCAATTAAAATGTCCATTTTTGTTTCAATCCTAGGGTCCAGTCCTTGTAGGGAGCTCACAAGGTGGAGTGAACATTGAAGAGGTGGCTGCAGAAAGCCCTAATGCCATTATCAAAGAACCTGTAGACATCATTGCAGGCATTACCAAGGATCAGGCTCTCTACGTGGCCAAGGAGATGGGCTTCAGCCAGAACTCTCTGGATAAAGTGAGCTCAGATGTTTAAACAGTTTGGAAATTTCACAGTTACTTAGTTGTTTTTTAAATCACACACACAAAAGGATTACTTCATTGCACCAGTTGAATCCCACATGGGTTGATCTCTCTCCACAAAGTGGCTAGCCTATAACTGGGATCATCACAGATTAACAATGACTTTTGTTAATTCCCAGCAATGGCCCTTAAGGATCTGTTTTAAAGAATTGACTGATGCAGTCCATAAATATATCTGTGATCTCTCTCTCTCTCTCTTTCTCTGTCCAGAATCAGTTATCAATTCTGTTCCCAGGGTACGTATAATGGAAAGTATCGGCTCGATGTAGAGTGAGCGAAAACCTCACCGGAGTGTGCAGAAGTTTGTATAAGAATTGTAAAAGTGTAGTTAGAAAAAATAGGGAACATCTAAACCATTCACAGAAACATCTGGAGTAAGACAGGGATGTGTCTTATCACCACTGCTGCTCATTACATACGTCAACAGTATATGCAAAGATGCCAACATCAGGAAAGAAAATATCAGTGGCATCAACATATTACTCTTTACTGATGACCAGGCCTTGATAGCAGATACAGCCATGAATGAACAATGTAATACAGCTAACATGAGAATCAACACTAAAAACACAGAAGTAATATCGTTAGGAAGAAAGAAGCAGAATCTGACTATAGCAGTAGAATGCAAAGGCATTAAATATACATCTGAGTTTAAATATCTGGGAACAACATTCACAGAAGATGGTAAATTAGATGGAGAAATTAACATCAGATACAGTAAAGCAAACCAAGTATTGAATGAAAATGAGTAACTGGGAAAATGAAATGTCTGAGAAGTGCTGAAGGTTTGAACAACGGACCAACATCATGACACACTGGTGGAACCCATAAGTGCTCCGTTCTACTTCTAACTCAGGACTGAGTCTGAAGAATCTCAGCGCTGTACACCAACTCCACAGCACCGGCGAGGATCCTGAAATACTTTAGGTAGATTTTTAACTCCAAATGTTTGCCTGTGCAGCGCCATTAGGCTACACTTTTCGAATTCCAAATGCCAAGGGACTTTGTTACGTGTGCAACATACACACGGGCGTTAAATCTTACTACCCAGATACCAGGGGAAATTACTAGAAGTTCACATGAAAAAAATCGCAGCCTTCACAGGGACTTCCAGCACCCAAAGTGGACGCCTTGCCTCAAGACCACTCAACTCCCTAGTCCTACAGGAGTGACCAGAAGAGATAAAATCAGGAATATGGTCATAAGAAAAAAGTCAGCACAGTGTCACAACCCTATTAAGTACAGTCAGTGTACCACACCGTAAGGTGTGCACCCAGGGTTGACACAGAGGTCAGGGCCGTCACTGGTCGAGTCCGTTCTGTGATCGCACGGCGAAACCAGCGCTCAGGATAAAGCAAGAAAGCTTGAACTGTGTTTTAGTAACACGATGACTGCTTCTGGGACTGAGCTGGTGAACGGGGTCAAGAGACACGAGGGAGAAGGAAGAAGGACATTCGGTGTGCGTCGGTCAGGAAGAGAGGACGTTTAGTGACTGGATAGTTTATGTTATAGTATTAAAGTTAGGATATATTTCTGTTAGTGACTGGATAGTTTATGTACAGTTTTGTGTTAGGATAGGATAGTTCTTGTGTAGAGTATTTATGTATATGTGCTGTGAGAGAGTGGCTAACCTGGACACTCTGACCCTGCACTAAGACAGAGACTGTGACAGTTTGATTGGGTCAGCGTGGCGATAGAAGAGAGCGTATCCTGCCGGATTGTGGTTTGTACACCAGAGTATTGCCTGTCGCACGTACTGGGGACGGAGCGATTGTAAAGCCCGTCCAGCCAGAGGGTCCAGGCAATAGGTGGCCACACGGCGGGAAGTCAACTGTCTATGTATTACCTGTACTTCCAATAAAGATTGTCGTGTGTGCTCTGTGTGCGTTCGGGTTCAGTGTGTGTTGTAGGTTAGGCTGTCTGTCATAGGCCTAGTTAACGAGCCACGGACCGGCAAGGTCATACCAGAGGTTTGTGACAGATTATGGGGGCGTTCGTCCTTGGGAATTGAATCGATAGTAGTAGCTACATAGGAATAGTTGTCCGCGTTAATTGTGAACCCAATGTGCTTGTATTTATTTGTCTAAATAGGAGACATAGATTATTTTGTATGTTTAGCTGACTGATTTATTTTTCTTTAAGTTTTGTCGTTCACTATGGTAGGGCTAACGTGATTGAGTTAATCCCTTAATTTTGATGTTGCTATCGAGTGAGTTTGTGATGGCGTTGCTGAGTTTATTCTCTTAAATATTGCATCGTTGTTCGGGCCTACTCTTAATTTTTGATAGCGACATCGGGGTTGGCTTGGGTCACTCGTAGCGCTATAAAGTGATAGTTTGTTTTTGTTTTCGTATTTGTTTAGACGGAATGTAATTAATAATGACTAAATGTGATAGGGCTGCGTTTGCGTCGTGACAAGTTAGTGACGTAGAGGAGAAATAGTTTGACGGACAGTAAAAAGTGTGAGGAAGGTCAAGATTGTGTGCTGTTGTGTGGTTTCTGCCGACACCGATCAACCGAGGCCTGTCGTTCTCGGTCATCATCATCATCCTCATCATTCTTTCTGTGGGAGGCCAAGAATCAAGGACTGGAGAGAAGATAAGTTTGTTTTGCTTTTGGTGTATTGTTGTGGTCTGTTCTCCAGCCCTCGAGGGTTCTACGCAATTGTATTTGAGCCCCTGTCACCGTTCATTGTCCTTCTCATTTCTCGTCTGTCCTATTCATCACTTACGTTATTTTTGGTGGGTGGTTGGCAGGGCTAGTCTTGTGTTGTCCCTAGTTGTCTAGTGTTGCTAGGTTAACATAAGATTACGTGTCAGCTATATTGCGATTCTAGTCTCGTCTGCAACTCGTTGTGCAGCCGGGTCTATTGTCAAGATATATGCTTGTAGCGTCTTGTTTGTAAATAGTTATTGTCCAATCGTTGTGCTTTCCTGTCAATAAGTGTTTATCTAGTAGTACGTTATCGTTCGTGCGTGTACCGTCTGATTTAGAGATTAATAATTTCTTCAAGGTGTTTTCGTGTGTGAAATTGTTTTCCACGTAGTGATACTAGTGCTGTTCATCTTTGTGTTAATTTTTTTTTGTGCACACACATCATCATCCCTCATTCGGAAATTGTAACGAATAAGTTTCGGTGACCCATCCCTTTTCTGTATCGGAACAGTCCAAATTGTTCCATAATTATTATTATTTTTGTATTGCATTTATTAATTTGCTATATTATTTGCATTGTTTTCACTGATTTCCGGGCTTGCCACTTGTAATTTTTAGTATTTTTGTTCGTGGCAGCTACGGTATTCAGGTGATTTGTTGAGTAGTTGTAGATTTTTTTTATTTTTTTTATTTTTTTTTTATTTTGAAAGAAAGATCACTGTTGTTGCAACTAAGATGTCGAGTCTATCTGAGTTCATCGAGATGGCAAAACAGAATGGTCTGACTGGCGAGAAGGCGCTAGAATGGGCAGACAAGAAATATGCCGATCTTCAAGAGAGAAAAGACAGAGCTGACGAGAGAGAACTCAAGAAATTGGAACTAGAAGCCGCTAGTAAACTAAAGCAGATCGAGCTGGAAGCCCAAGCGGCATTAAAAGACAAAGAGTTATCTGCGATGGCTGAGAGAGACAGGGTACAGTTGTTGATAAAGGACAAAGAGCTAGAACACACCGCTACCTTGAGACTCAAAGAGATGTTATGCAATTCAGACCTAGAGAAAGAAAGGCTGGTGATGGAACTGAAGGCCAAAGAGATAGAAGCAACTAGAGATGCTGAGGTGCAAATGCGTAAGGCTGAGATAAAGGCTGCTGAACCTTCGTTCAAAAAGTACCAGGGCCTAATAAAATTTTTTACACAGGGTGATTCCATATCTGCTTGGACACAAAATTTTGAATGTATGGTCCATCACTATGAGGTCCCTTTTAAAGAGTGGTCACTCATTTACCGAAAACATTTAGGGGGGGAACCTTTGAAATTACTAGAGACAATCCCTACTGAAAAACTTGAGGATTATTACTTTGTCAGGGACAGAATTCTCCAACATTTCTCCCTAGATGAGGAATCTTACAGAAATACCTTTAAAAATTTGATTCCGAAAGCTGAACAGACATTTCTGGATTACATGTCTGAGGTGGTATCCACTTTCGACAAATGGGTAACATCGGCGAAAGTGAACAAATCATACGAGTTGTTAAAAGATCTTTTGATAAGAGACAAGGTGTTGTCAAGTGTCCCTAGCAGCATGAAGACGTTTTTGATTGAACAAAAACCTGAAACAGTAAAGCAGATGGAAGATGCAGGTGCTGCATACTGGAATGCTCACAGAAACATTTTTAGTTTCAACAGGGGTGCAGACATCAGCTACGGAGCTGCAGTACAACCTGTATACAGGAAAAAGCAATATACTCAGAAGAAAGGAGAATATAAGAGCTACAGACCTGTAAGAGATAAAGGTCCAATAGTTACATGCCTTTACTGTAAGAGAGATCATGGTCAACGACAGTGGTGCGAAATGAACCCAAAGTATGAAGAGCATTTTCGTAAGAGGGAGAAAGAAATGCATGAGAAAAGCTCAGTAAACTACCCACTCCAGTGTCGCCTGTGCGACTCGATTGATCATTTACAAAAAGACTGTAAGATGAGAAGAAGACAGCATCAGAGTGCAGCTGCAGAAATATCTGACAGTGGCAGTGACTCTGGAAGTAGGTTCTCTGATGGGAGTATGGCAGATGTACCTACAGCAAATTCAGCTGAGCTTGTGAACTTCTCTGACACAGGATGCCAGACCTACAGAGGGTTTAATGAAGAGGGTAATCTGACCTGTGGTCACAGTGAGATAGGGGATGCAAATGCGGTAACGAGTTTCGATGGCCAGCTGAAGTTCACGAAAGGGGTAGTTAATGGAAAAGTAGTGACAATTTTACGGGATTCTGGGTCGACA